ATTACGCGTCAAGTAAACAGACCAGAAATATTTGCAGAAAAGTTTCCTTCCCAGAGGCCTGCCTGGACAAGAAGCCCGGTCTCTGCAGCCACCTGCCCCACTCGCACCCAGGCGCCCTTGCCTGCCCTCCTGTGCTGCCGCACAAGCGAGGAGGAGAGCGAAGGCCCTCCCCTGAGAAGGGCTGGGGAGGCTAAGCTGTGCTACAGAGCCTGCCACCCCAGCTGCCAGGATGCTGGAACCGTGTACTGCAGGTCTGCACATCCAAACCCTACTCCTCTCTAATGCCATTTAATCATAACCCTCCCTTCCAGAGGCATGGCCATCCCAGCCAGGTTAGTGAGCTGGTACTCACAAGGAGAATCAGTCACTTTGCTTACATGACTTCCCTTGGCAGGAGAGCACCTGAGCAACCCGGCAGCAGACACACAGATTTGAGTATGTCCCAGCTTCCCAGTCAGCAACCTGCTGGGATGCCATCGAGTATGTAAGTGTATTAGCTTGACACCAAGCCAAAGGCCCTGGAGCCTTGGGACCTGCACAGAACAACAAGGAAATTGAAGTAAGGTCTGAATTAGCTCCCATAAACCCAGGCTTTGTTCCTAGCATATATATACCTGGCTGGTGAAGGACCTTGGGCAAGGCAGGAGACTGATGGATCCAAAAGTGTTAAATTTATCGAAATCCATGCAGAAACAGTAACATAATTTTTTTAGCTGTGACAGTCTGAGGATACAGACCAGCTTTGTAGAGAAAAATAGTAATTTTTACTGAACTCATAGAGCTAGGAAGAATGGACAAGTCTTACGAACTTGAAGAAGGACCTACAAGCACTTGAGCGTTTTTCCATTTCAGTCGCACCTGTCTCACGAGCCTCATGAATCTTGCTTCACTTAAAAGCAGTGTCATTATTCAGGATAATAAAATCTAGGGTGTCCACAGGATCAAGACATTTTGAGCGTGTAGGTGAGGCTGATCTGTGAATGCTAGACCCCCTGGCTAGCTGAAGGAACGGTTCAGTCAGAGAGAGGCTTTTCAGAAAGTTAATAATGTAGTTTGGCCGTTTCCTCTCATTTGCCCTTCCTGGATTTGTAATGCAAAAGTTCAAGGGGGGGAAAAAAATAATCTAGTAATTACGCAGCTTAGATCTGAGGGAGAACTTTCCAGAAGAAATTGACTTAAAGATGAGTTTCTAATTATTTACCACAATCACACCCTCTATATCTACATTCTTAAGTATATCCAAAACAGAGATGAAACATAACACTGCAATTTAATTAGTAGTGAGACTCCACTTATAATGGGGAAAAAAAGATTCAGATAAATTATAAATAGCCTTAAAAATAAAAAAATAAAAAAATAAAAAATCAATCAGTCCTGGCTGCATTGTCGCCGAGGGCAAGCACGTGATACACCCACCGACGTTAATGGAGTGGTATGCAGACAGTCAAGGGTAAAACTTGACCCTCAAGACTAATCTAATGCCAGGGAAAGATGGATTTTTATGATCAGAAAAATAAAAGCTTGAGAGTTGTGTAACCTCAGTCCTAAAGAAACATTTCACACCTACATTTGTACTATTACAAGGACACTTTTAACTTTGTAGTTCTGTATTTCAGACACTTATATTCGGAATGAAATTGCCTTTTGCCTGAAGGTTTATAGTGATGACGGAATGACAATGTCTTTTTCCCCTTTCCTTTTTTTGCCTTGTTATGAGGGCTGAACTGGCTTACTTTAATCCCTGCTTTTAGGAACGAAGGCAAGTCATATAACGTAATATCTGTTGTCATTGGGAGACCATAGCCATGCACTAGTGAAAAATAAGCAGAGCAGTGAGGTTAGAAAAATAACTCAAATATTCCAGGTACATTTATACTTCCAAAAGCTTCAGCAATAATGTGAAACAATATGTTATTATGTACCTTTGAGCTGCTTACGCCCTTTGGCCAAATCGTTCATCCATTTCAGAACTTCAGGATTGGAAGTCTTGTCACCATGTGAAGGCTGAATGTAAAGACAACAGAAAGGGAGAAAAAAGAAAAAAAAAAAAAAAGAAGGAATTGATGGTTATACAATTGAACAGATAAAAATCTATCCAAACACAGTGTGCTAAAAAAGGTCCATAGTTCCAACTGCACCATGTCACAGTGTCATGCAGACAATTTGGCTTGACCACGGTTCTAATTTGTCATGACTTCTCTCTCCCCATTGTGGCACAGTGCTACGTGGATCTGAGTATTTTGGGTCTGATCCTAAAAACAACATTTAAGTCCTTGACTAACTGAACAAGTAATCTCAGTGACTTCAAAAGGACTGATCAATTACCTAATATTAGTCAAGTTCCTAAGTGATTTCCAGGATGGTAGCCGAAGCACTCTGTCCCCTGCAGGGATAAGCCCTTACTGCCTTAAGACAGGGATTCTTTTGGGAAACAGCACTTTAAACATTTCAATTGAACCGCTTAACTAATCAGAAGAAGAAATCCTGTGCAACAGAGTGATTTCAAAAGCAACAATCAACAAAATCTTTGTATATCAATTCTTCCTTTGCATTTAGAAAGTGCCTCCAAATTAAAATCAATTTACCCTGGATCTTCAAAACTCAGATATTTAAAACAGCAAAACATTTTTGCAAAATTAAATCTGTTAAATCATTTATTTTCTGGTCACAATGCGATGACTGCTTAAGTATGGAATTTTACTCCTGAGAGTGCGTGATGACCATAGGGCAGTACGATTCACAAACGTACGTTTGAGTTTGCAGTCACTGATGAGATTACACAGTAATGTAAAGTTTGCTGAATTTTCATTTTAATGTAGTCATAACTTATCACAAACTTCCCTGTTTCATCCTTAGCATCATGGGTGCTTTGATATGTTTGTACTGCACAAACTAGCTCGATATGAGCGATGATCTCACAGAGCACACCACTGACCTCAGACAACCCCCCACCAACACCACACCACAATTTTTATTTCTCTAGTTCCTGCCATCAGCTTCTACTGAGCCCCGTGCTTTCGAGGTTTACAGGAGTCTGCCTGAATGAAACAATCTGCACAGCAGAACAACACTTTCCAAGCAAATGATTTCTACAAAGAAAATAAGTAGCTTTTCATCTTCTGAATCATTTTGGTTCTCAAGCTTGTCAGCTATATTTCACTGATTCACACTTCTCACACATCTAGAAGATGGATATTTTGCAACAAAGGTAATCCAAAGAAAATACAAATTATAATCTCAGAACTACTGCACATGCTGAAAGGTGATAACAAGATATTCCCTCGTTGATGATTTTCCTATTTCGTTTCACCAAAAATACCCCTTTTCCTATTGTTTTCATAAGTACACTAGTATTCTTCCTTGTCTCTTGTAGTATTTCCTTTATCTTTTCAATTATTATCTTACCAGATATTTTTTTTCTTGCTCAAACTTTTCTTCATACTTCCTGATTTTTCTCTTGAGACTCTGAAGGTGCTTGGTAAGTTGTGCTACGGTTTGTGGTTCTTTGCACTCTTCACAGTTACATCTAGAAGAACTTCGTGGCCTGCAAAAGCCAAAAGCATAGTAGCTGGATCAAAGAACTGGCTATAATGGACCATGCCTTGTTTCAGACACACTCAACGCTTTCCTAGCACTTCAAATCATAGAATCATAGCTTCAGAATTTGCAGCTAGGTTCTTTCACAGGATAGTTCAGTTTTACAAACTAAGCATAAAATAATTACTTTTGCTTGAAGGTACCCCTAGGGTATACTAATGGGTTCACCATCTGTCTTTCAATCTCTTTCTTTATTCTTTTTTTTTTAATTAATTGTGGGATTTCTGAGTATTTTTGAAAAGCTTAATCTAGTAGGTCACAACCCGACCCAGTATTTACATTTAACACCCACATCTTACTTCACAAATCTTCCAACTTCAATGAGAGACTGTAACGACATGATTTGTAAAAGTAAGCTCAGGAAGTTTTTTTATTACTGGGAATTAACCTTATCATTTTGAAGGCAGTTTAGCTTCTGATTTTTTACAATTGCAAATCAATGGATCTGATTATTATTCATATGCAGCTGGCAGCTATCTGTATAAACTTTTCAGAAAGTTCAGTTTCTGTCTGAAGCTCATGGCTTGGTTTCTGGAGATCACATATATCGACGGTTCGTATGTTCTGGTGAATGACCCAAGCTCTAGAGTTCTATTCCCTCTGAAATTTTTAGTATTATAACTTGACAGCCCTCTCTCTCTTATGTTCACTCTTCAGACTAATTACTAACTAATATGTAAAACTGTCCTTGATAACTTAATTATAAAGACTTAATTATTATTAATTAACTAACTTAATTATTAAATAATTAACTTAATTATTAACTTAATTAATAAAGACTTCAAACAATATTGTGCTGTGCTATTACTGAAAAAGTGCTAGATTGTATTTCTGGTATTGCAAACTAACCATGTCAAAATACGCTACGATATGAAAATTTCTTGTTTATGACATAGCAGTAACTGAAAAAAACATGAAGAGTCAAAGATCATGGACGGTACGAAAATTTATACAGAAGAACTGAAATATATTTTCTTACATCATGAAAGGTTGAGCACTTGGTGGAGAAGGGGCAGACTCTGTGTCGAGATTAAATCTCTGGCTTTGGCTGAAGATAGAGCAGCGTGGTGACAGGAGCGGATTGTCTCCATCTGTGATGTGATACAGCAGTCGGCTGGTCCCGAGGGAGTGATGTTCTTGTGGGCTGCTGTCCGTGTCATTCTGCCAGTCTCTGCGGACTGGCACAGGCTCTGGAGAGAAAGCACAAACCAGTACAGACGGAGAGACACTCGCAAGACATTCAGCTGCCTAGATAAATACAAATCTATACTTACAGAAGGATTCAAAGCTTAAGGATTCAAAGTAAACAGCAAACAGTTCAGCAAAGTATCCCATGCAGGATGAACATGAGGATGAGAAAACAAAGGACAGTTACTGGCTTCACATAAAGCACTTTTGAGTTCCGCAGGAGAAGGTGGGTGGGTGTGTTTGTAAACTATGAAGTAGAATGTAAAGATGGAGAGTTTCCCAGAATAGTGGCATTACTTGTATCTTCATACATGTTTGCTTTTGAAAGCCGCATTCATGCAGAAGACGATCAATGTACGAAACTAATTTTGTGATTTAGCAGTTAGTCCTTTTGTCAGGAGAAAGGAAGAACAAAAATACAAAATGTCCTGATGCTAAGAACCTCCAGTGTTGCTTGCAGCATCCTCAGAGTTTCATTAAGTTCTGAATTAACATACACATGGGTCTAAAGAATGCAAGATATGAAAATAACAACAACCAATAACATTCAAGGTAGTTATTCAAGGCAGTTTGCAGGGACAGCTACTTGGAGCAGTCACACTTATGATGCTATCTTAGTATTGTCTTTGCCCATAAATGGAAACCTCACCTCCTGTACCCCAACAAGTAAAATCTGTGTTCTAGAGATGGTCAAGCCAGATGTCAGAATGATTTATTCAGGACTGAAAAAGCAGGAATTAGTGAACCTCATCACACTCTATGGGTAACACATAAAATAATGGGCACATTACAGAGCCTGCCTCCAGGGAATACCAAGAGTTTATCTTCCCCTTGCTGTACTCGGGCACATTACTGGGAGGAACCATTGAATCTTCTTCCCCACTCTCAGTGGGTGAAAATGGGTGAGGATGATCTAGCCTAATCAATATTTTTGCCATCAGATGATTGTGGTTTAAAACAGATGACACTCCTAGGGAGAAACTGCACAGTCTTATAAGAGCTCTTCCCCAGAAAACAGTTAACATATGTTAAAGCAAAGAGTGTGTGCTGTCTCAGGTTCCCCTACACCTGTTTCCATAGTACGTAATATTTTACACCAGCTATGTTATTTTTTTCCCTCTAAAACTGTGTATGTGTACAGCCTTTGAATTCATAACAATTATTTTGTATTTCCAGGCAGTGTGCATGTTATTTCTAATCAGAATTATATTTGCAATATAGCATGCGTTTAAATACATTTCACAGAATGTTTTTATTCAATGAAAGTCTACAACTGCACAGAACAACAACTGTACATGCATTTACTCACAGAATAGCAGGTTGGTTTAGAAAATTTCTTACACCTTCAATTTATTTCCATTTCTCCTTTGTAGATGGGACATGACATTCCCATGGTGAGTGGGTATTGCGTTCGGGATTTTAAAGGAACCTTTGTAATGCATTTTGTCTGACCTCTGCCGAACAACCACTGAAGCTACAAATCCCTATTGCTGTACTGGGACAGTGGGGACAAACCAGCTCTGAATGGCACCCTTCACAGAAAGCAACTATTGATTTAAAAAATAATAGCGATGATGGCCTAAGATATCGTCTTATCAGGCACCATCCTAATTTTTGGCTTTACAAACAATAAAAAAATCCAATTGTATGTTGTATAATCAGTTTAGCCTGTCATGCAAAAGTTACATGTGACTTTTGTATCTATAAATTCGCCTACTCTAATAGCACCATCGATTATAATTATGTTAAGTATTGTCACAATGAGGCCATGTAGCTGATTATTAATTTTAACTTAGCATCTTTCCTCTAAGTACTTCATACTCTGTAGGTCAAATTCAACTCTCCAAGCTACCAGAGCAACACCCAAACCTTCTAAATCATATAAGAGATTCAAAATCCTCCTGTAGAGAGATCCGAAAAGGCATATGGGACAAGCAAGGGCAGAGCATTGTACCAGTCACAGAAATTACGTACACAGACAACATGATAATGGCTGAAATAAATGTTGTTCTACAAATAAAAATGTTATCTCTTTCTGGTAAGTAATCTTTCCTTACCCTGTAACACTCGAAAAACTTAGTAGTTTTGGCTGAGTTTTTGTTTGTTGGTTGTTTGGGGTTTTTTTTTACCTTCTGAGAAACAATATTGTCAATGAGAAGAAACTGACTTCCTTTTATTTCACCCTCTTTAAACATCAAGATGATCACTGTGAAGTAGGTTGACTAAGAATAGTTTCACTGTTTCTCATGCTCTGTTATTAAAAGGAACAAATTCTTTTATAATTGTGTTAAGTAGCAATCTCCTCACTGTGAAAGGAAAATGATGTTATAAACAAATCAGCCGATCTGTGTATGATTGGCGGAGGAAAAAAACTTTGCCACATTTGAACTCTGGTTTTCTGTGGATCTAGAAAGGACTCCTCTTGCAGGAGGCAATCTGTACTGCTGATAAACTACGTGGTCACAGGCATTTGCTCTTTTTCACATTTACAACCAGGCGATTCTGCTAGGCCCAGCTCAGTCTCAGAAGCGGAAGAAAAGTACACGTTCAAGCCTAAACACTACTGGAAGGTAAATGCAAAGGACATGGAGTGGCTGGATCTGCCTCAGTGGAAAACCAAACACATGGATCTGCAGAGAGTTCAAGGAGTTTTTTTATTCAGCTAGCAAATGAAAGGCAGATAACCTGCACGCCAGGTGAATTGGGAGTATTTCCCAAAGGCCAGGGCTCTTCCATTTCTTTGGCACTGGGGCTTCCTGACAGCATTGCTCCACTAAAGTTTGCAAACTGGTGCAACTTTGGTATGGCCCCAAGAAAGGTTTTAGTCCCAACCCTACCATGGATGCATTAAATTACTACCTACTGTCCAGAAGTGGTAAGTCATTCAAACTGATTCATTTACGAGGCCCAATTACTATAATAGCAGAACATCTCAGGATGATAACAAGTTATAGTCAACCTCATTTTTAATTACAAATTAGGGCCATCATCCTGATTCTAGTTCTGCATAGATCCTAAACAAGACACTAAGCATTATCCTGAGAGTAGCCCATGAACTGACCAAACATCTACCTGTGTTCACGTGTCTGATCTAATTTTAGCCTCTATTTTTGCCAAAACTGGGAACTAAAGCCACCTCTAGCCAAGCCGGTAAGTTGCCCCTTAGTCTGCATCTACTACATCTCATCTGCTCAGTCCAGCTTAGCACTGACAAGAGCTTACCACGGCACTTAAAGCCAAGATCTAGTGTCTTATAAGATGCAGTATGCTTCATAACATGGATTTTAATCCCATGACAGCAAGTCACATGGTACAAGTCCATATTCCTGCATGTGATAACTCTTTAAGTAAAACAATAATACAGTTTATAAAATCTGCTGTAATAAATAAGAATATGCAGTTGTGATATGTTCATCCCTCAGCACGTTATGTCTGTGAATGCCAGTACTGGGAGTTTTAATTTAAAAGCCATTTAAAACATCTTTTAGTTAAGTTCAGCTGCTCACTGCTCAAGTCACATATTTGATAAATACTCATATCCAAAAGCTATAAAAATAACTCACACTCTGCTTTTCTTTCAAGTTTTTACATATCCAAAAGTAAACTGGGAATTGCTGACCTTGCTCAGAGATAAGGGTTACTGTTCACCCCTTAAAATGTGTATCCTGAAATAGCTTCATTCACCATACATATAAAGTATTTTTTTCAAATTTTTGTTGACTGGGTTGTGAAACAAAAGAAATTAAATAGGCTACAGGGTCATGTTTATTTAAAAAATAATACATTTGTATGTTGTTAATATTAAAGTTTTTATTGCCTGATTCACTGGGCAAGTGCTAAGAACTAGAGATGTAGTATATAGGGCACATCCTCTAAAAACTCTCTTCCTAGCCTGGTACAAATCCCTGGACTTCTATCCAAGTTTGAGCTGAAGTAGCCAATAGTCCCATGTGACAACTCTTCCTAAACTGGAAGTATCAGTAGATTTCAGTAACAATTTAGGAGACAGAATTAGGACTAGCTCTATCTATGCAAAATGGCAAGTTATTAAAAAAAAAAAAAGCCACAAAGCAGGTGTTACCAGGAATGAGTACATTAAAATAGGTAAGCTTTACCAGGGCACAGGTGTGCACTGCTAGAGTGACAGAGCATGCTCTGAACTGTGAGAGAAATGCTACATCATCCAATATTTGCCTGTATAGCTGGAGACAGGCAAATAGGAGCTAGAGAGGGGATCGGAAGTAGGGATCATTAACAGCATGAATTAAAAGCAAATCCAATCAAACCATCAAAAGTAATCAGAGGAAACAATTATAAACGATCCTAACAATGAATTATGAAACTGCGAGAACAAAATAATTCAATAAACTACTGGAAATGGAGGAAAACCCCATCCTGCTATAAAGGAAAAGAGTTGGTGCAGATTTTGGATGGGCTGCAAAATGTCTCTGCCTGCGCAGCACAGATACGGGATCTGTGCCTCAGATCCATGCCAAGGAATTAGCACCAGTGCAAGTTCCATACCTGTATCCAAGAACTATTGAAGTATTTTCCTAGCTGGGCTAAAGCATCCGTTTGTTTGTTTGTTTGTTTAGCTAAGCCGCACAATATTTATATTTTCTACATTCCTTAATCTTAATTTGGATTCTACATACCATTTCCCTTAACTGTGCAATGCAAACCTCAAACTTTAGAATTTCTTAAGTAGAACACTATCATTTGTGATTTTTTTTTTTTAGGTGAATAACTTACTGTTATTTCTTGCTGAAAATTCTGAGCAAACAGCTTCTGAAATAAGTTCTTCTGAACCCAGCCTTTATTCTGACACAAAACATCAGCTGCAAAAGGATTACTGACCCATCTGCCTTCGTTTGGACCATACACAGTGAACAACTTAAGCATTTGTGCATTCATGTCACTGTCTGTGAGATGCATTAGTCACATTGCCTTTGACCTATTTTTCAGGAACAGTGATTCCTCTTCTACTGAGCATCACGACTCTGCCAGCCCTGTGACTACAGGCTATGAATTGACAAAAATAGTGCTGAGCCTCAGGGCAGTTTATTTGCAAGGACTGGTTTCCATGTTGAGGAAAGAGGGACAGATAACACACCACAGTTTGCCCAGATGGGAAATAATACAGGTTCATGAATGATTAAAATCCACATGCTGTAAAACTCACCTTCGCTATCTCTCTGCTGATGCATTAAATTAAAATCAATAATAGGAGAAATGAAGTGATATTGCTCTGACAAAAAGAATGACAAAAATAGAATTACATGATATGACAGGTGATCTCACGAAATCACAGATATAGGAAGTAAAGAGTGTAAATTTACTTGGAGAAAAAAAAAAAACCACAACGGATTAAAACTGAAAATAAAAGAACCAGGATTCTTAAAACCTGTCTGAAAAGCAAGACTCCCTCTCAGAAAAACAGAAGGTTATAGCCATTAATTTCCGTTCTTTTAACAGGAAAGACCCCTTTTTACATTACACAGCATTTGCACCAGGAAACGGTGCTGTGCGTTAGCCCTGCACTGCTTCCCAGAGGACTGCAAATCTGGCATCAAAGCGCGGGTCCCAAGGCTTTGTTATACTTGCAAATGAGAACACATCATTACGCCATCGCTTACCTCCACAGCTGGCCCCATCGGCTTGCACGCTGCTGCTTTGGACTGACGAAGTGGCCGGATCCTTGGGTGCCGGCAGCTGAGGAGTTTCTTCCTGGGCTGGCAGAAAGGCAGAGCACAGATCGGTTTCGAGGGCTTGTAGCTTCAACAAAGAATTCTGCAGACAAAAGCAGAACATTGGGCTGGGTAGAGAACAGCAGAATACAGCGGCAGCTCCTCAACTCACGGAGCCCATCAGCAGCGCCTGCAAAGGGGTGTTCCACGAGCAGCTCTGGGAGGACGTGCAAGGGAACAAACGGGCACTATTCCACGAGGTTCTTGACTTCTGGTTATTTAAGTCCCAATTTACATGGATTATTCACGACACGTGGGAAAGATGACTTCGTCAGCAAAAGACGATTTTAGGAAGCCAGACTGAGATGGTGCCCCTTTTCTTGGTCTTGAAGCAATACACTAAGCAAGTATTTCATTCATTGGGCTGACATCACGATCTGATGACATTATGTCCCTCCCCGTTTACCATTCATAAAAAAAAACAAATCTCCCTCTCCAGCCTATTGTGCAGTACGCAGCAGTGAACAAAGAGTTACTGAGAACACGCTCCCTCATAAGATTCTTGGAAGAGATATTTTTTTAATTGTCTTTTTTAGAGATAGTTTATGTAGACACAGCTTTTATGTAGGCTGCTGCTGTGGCTTCTACAGGGCAACCAGACCATTTCCTATCCGCCGCAAAGGCGAAATGAACAGATCGTTGTCACTTCCCACAGACAAATCAAGGAGGACCAGGCTAGTTATCCATAACATCTCTTCCAGCTACTGTGTCACACTTGGTCCGTTCCTCCTTTTAATCTTTAATGCTGCATGCGATATTCAGCTGCACAATCTGACACAAGCATCTTGCTGTGATGTGAATGCTGTGAAAGCCTTCATCACCATCTGACTGGGCAAAATGAGTCACTACCGTACCCCACGCACTCGGTCCCCCTCTATCAGGGGAAATACAGCTTGGAACATAAAATCACGCAAGGCTGTCTTAATAATCACACAGCTGGCGCACGCAGAATTACACCTAATACGTTAAGTCACTCAAATGGTACATATTTATGCAGAACAATTTCTGAAGAAAAAAAAACACAGAAAAAAAATCCTCAAGTTTATACCCTGAAAAACTCCTTTCTCCATTCTGTCAAAGACTTGAAATCAATTTATTGATTCATTTAGTGAGATAATGAATTTATTTATTGATTCATTTAGTGAGATAATGAATTTATTTATTGGAATAGTTTCCTTTGTGTAACAATATGTCACCTATGTAGTGAGTAGTTTAATATATCTTTGCATTATTTTTATTGTAATACAGCCCTTTTATAAACCCAAGGATGCCAGCGTTTTTAGGTTAAAAAAAAAAAATTAAAAAGGAAACTAATTTGGCTAAGAACAGCAGGGAGATTTCAGCCTTAATCCTTTCATTCCTTTTATAGAATTCAGGCAGTGAAAAGGGAGCAGAAAGTAGCTCTTTCTAGGATATATCTCGAAATAGGGAAGTTTCAAAAAAGCACAGGATCATCAAAACTAGATCCTGCCGCCCTCTGGCACTGTCAGAGTGCTTCAAAATCCATATCTCATTCCACAAAACAGATTAGGTTACAATCAAACACTTGGACTTTGGCCTCAGCTTCGGTCAAAACGGAAATCCAGGAACACCTTACTTCTGGTCTCAGAGCGAACAGGAGCTCTGGTTGTTCCTATCAGAAGCAGCCTGATATTAGAGGTGTGTGAGCAAAGAAATGGCTTGTGTTACACATTTGTTTTAGAATTAAGTTCCTCTCATCTGCTGTCAAGATACGTTTTGTCATGTCATCCTATAATACCAGGAAAGAAGTGACTGGAAGATCAAGCACTGATTTCACAATGAAACGCCTCAATGTAATACTATTCTTTAAAAATATGTCATGATATAGAGCTGGATATAGGCAGGAGATACTTTTACTATTCCCAGGTACAGGTTACATTAACAACTATCCATCTTCTGGCCCAGGTGCCATTTGCAAGGATAATCTACTGATCTTGACCAACAGTGCCTCATCTTCACACCTCAGTTTCTCCAGGACTCTTGAATGAGTGGCATCTTGTCCTTGCCACTTACTGACATTGTTTGGTCCAATATTTTAGATATGTTACTTCACACTGATGTGGCTCCCTGACTGCTAGAAAGAGCACACCAGGTGTGCAAATGTCCCCAAGATGGGCTTTATCAGTGAAGACCAATTGTTATAACAATTTCACTCAGCCTCTCTGTTTGCAGCCGTATCACCTTAGTGCCCATTTAATATCTCAGCCAGTCAGCAGTTCCAGCAACACCCCACCTGGCTTCTTGCTTTTGGTGTATTTAGTAGGCTTCTTACTATCCATTTGAGCGTCTTTTATGAGGCACTTTCAAAGTCTTTAATCCTCTACAGGGCTTTCTTGAATTAGAGACAGAATGATGGAAACCATCTCACCCTCAACAGTTTTCAAGTGGCAGGGAATTTTCCTTGTCAAGGGAAGGGTGCTGACTGTAATTGTACCCATGGCACTGTTTTGAGAAGAGTTTTCATGATATGACAGGCCTAATTTTCCACTGCCTCTCACTCCAGCTAGACCCAAATGAAGCAGCTGTGGAATTATCACAACAGATGGGCAGTGTTTTACGGACTTTATCATGAGAACTGCTGATGGCAAGTAAGGAAAAGACAGGCAAACGTACCAGAAGAACATACCAACAAGGTGAACATAGGCAAATCACTGACAAATATACCTAATCTTCATAGAGCGTTACTTCAAGCATTTGACAAAAAATTCCCATATCAAGAAAACACATTCACTTTGCATCACTATTCCTTATGATACATTAATATTTATGGCAAGTTCAGTATAAAAGCTTTCACACGGACACATTGTGTTTCGGCAATGCTTATGCTGTAATTCACCAGCTGATTTATATTTAGTTGCTCTAAATGGTATTTTTCACCCAAGGAAGGTAGGTGGATGGCAAATTTTCAGTCACTGCCAAACACTAAAAAAATATCATACAATAATAATAATAATAGAAATACCTTCTATGATTTCATGAATGTGCCCTTGACAGCGATTTGACGTAGGGAGAAAAAGTAAGTAGCTTTGATCATTTTGATGTTACGAGGGAAACAATGAATCTGGAGTATGCCATCAACCTCATCTTACTCCTAAAACACAGCTGTGTGCTATGGCACACTATACATGAAAAGCCTCCATGTATTTATGGGAACACATGAAAGGAGACATAGCTTTAAGCAAAAACCAAGCACAAAGCTTCCCAGGGTCACCAACTTATGGGCAACAAGAGTGTCCTACTAAATGGTAGGGATGACCTTGCTGCCTGCCCTGCCGCATGTCCTGTCCTGCCCCTCTCAGAGGGCTGCTTGAAGTACCAGCAAGGCCAGAGCAGCTGGGCTGGATCCTGCCAGCCTCAGACCTTCTGCTCTGTGCCAGGAGCAGTGCAGCTCCCTGTTTCTTTGCAGCCCAAATAGAGCAGAAGAATGCTCTGGGAGGGGACACGGCCATATATCAGCAACCAGCAGTGGGTCCTCTATCCTTGGACTTGCTGGGGGCAGGCCAACATGCTACCAACTGCCAGCAAAAGGAAGGCAAGAAGAGGGAAGAATAAAGTCTGAGCCCCGACTTCATCTTCTCAAACCTTCCAAGTTAATTTGAAATCTTACTGACCACTTCCAAATTACCCCTGATTCTCCAATGCTTTCCAGTACCTGTACAACTCTGACGTGATAGCAGGTGTCCTGCCACAGTGGTGTGGGCACGTACTCTTCTGCGCTGCACACACTCAGCAATATGTCTAATCTGGAGATGAACCAGCCTGTGCATGTGCTACTCAAAATCCCTCACGGGATCCCTGGGGTCCCAACAGGGCCATCTCTGCTCTTGGCCATTTAGAAGAAGTTGCAGTACACGTTAGAAGCAAATACAAACAGCTAAAATGCATAGAGAGGGAATTGTTAGGTGGTAGGTACCACCATAAATTTTAATGAGCTTTTCTATGGGAAACCCATATCACTGAAGTAATTTAAGCTGTGGCACATGGTATCAGCCAACGATCTCAGTTCAGACACTTCAGATCCGATTCTCATTCCAGCTTTACTCTGGTGCCTAACACCAGTGTTTCTGATGCAGTAATTCCTGATCCACACTAATGCAGATGAGAAGACATACTAATATTTAAAATGGATCCTTAAGTTTCTCTAGAAAAATAACCATACTGTTGCGTCCTAACAATAGTATTTTGGAAGTTTGTAAAAGAAGCAATTATTATTGTCTTGGATAAAGGCTCCTTATCTCTTCAATTGTCCACTTAAAGTAATTGACAATTCGAAGAACTTGAGCTATGCCAATTCCACTAGAAGAAAAAACATCCTGCATTATTCCAGATCAAGGATAATGGAAAAATAAAGACATTTACAGGAAGTCCCAGGAAAACAGAAAGAGACACTGTGGAATTTCTCTCCTGTTTGTAATTTTTGCTGGGACTTTAAGAAAACATAGTCATTATATTATCATGCTCTTGCCTGCTGGAGAAAACAGTATAAAAGGATTGCTATTTGCAGAGGGAGCTCAGCCTGTGGCAAAGAAACCACCTTCACAAACAAGTAAGTCTGTAGACTGTACCCCACTGACCATCTCTTTCCATCTAATGACTATGGAAAATCAAGAGTTGAGGCCTTAGGGCAAGGAATTATTGAGATGATAGACAACCTCTTACATCTATAAATAAATACCACTCACCTACACTCACACTGCTAAATCTCTGAAGAATGGGATACTGAATGAACAAATACTCCCAGTTTATCACCAAAATACTGTGACAATGACTGGGAGTCCCCCAAAATAGCTTACAAACTTCTTCTTGGTAGGTGCCATCAGTAATTCCCTCTCCAGCTGCAGGTCTCTGCATGGGGCCGTGCAGGATCAGCACCATGCGACGTTGGTCGGCACGTCCAGAGGGCCGTAGCCTGATGGGAGAGAACGTGCCAAATGGAGCCTCGCAGCCCCGCACTCTGCCTTGTTGCACCAAAAGCTACGGCACTGCCAAACCTGCTAAGAATGGCCAAAAGAGAGCCACTGCTGTTAGAAATCATATCTTTCCCTGAAAAAGCATTGCTATTATCAGCATCCTTTGTTTCATCCTTGTAGACATCCTAAGGTCTGGTGAATTTAAGAACTGAGGGAAGAGGGGAAAGGGAACAGGTCTGCCTCACCCACGGACCCTGCCTGGTCTCAGCCTGAAGGCTGTCAGTGAGAAGGGAGGAGAAGCAAAGCCCAGACTTGGTGCTTTCTGCATAAACTGGAACCACCATGCCCTGCACACGGTGTTTCTGAATACTAAGGGTGCCTGCACGCTGCCCCTGGGCCTGCTCCTGCCCCTCCAGGACAGGAAGGCAACTATTCTATTATATCCAGTTTATTGATGGATTTACTGGATTTATGAAATCATATGGGACAGAGAAGAAGAATAATCCAAGTGTTCACTATTTAATGGCCTTTGAGGTGATTCACACAGAAAACAAACTGAGCAAATATCAACCTGTTCAATTTCTTCACTCTAAGGAAATTAATGCTTTTATATGTCACATTAAAACAGTGACGTGTAAAGGCACCTCCCTTGCTTTTTAATCTGAGTCCGGGTTAAAATAAGACAGGCATATTTTACGTGAACATAAATAAATCCCCGCGGTATCTGTTATGGCAACATTTGTGCCTTGAGGTGCACGACGCTTTCCATTCAGAACTTCCTTTATGGGGAACACGCGAGCACCAGTAAGAGAGAACAAGATACGCCCTGGGTCTGTGCAATGCCATGGATGAGCAGCGAGGAGAGACACCACTTTCTCTCATTTAAAAAGAGAACTAATTTTCATATGACACTTCCATTTGGGTTTACAGTAGACCCGAGGCACAATGCAATCTCAGATTTTGCAAAACAACGCACCAGAGTGTAACCTTTGCTCATTCCCCATAAATTATTAGCAATTTATTTTAATTTGCGATGTAATTATCTGTGTCAATATCTTACACTGATTTTATTTATTATAATATTTGATCTTAACCTTTAAGTAATCCTTTGCAGGAATTTTAAATGGAAGCTTTTAAGTGGAAGCTTTGGTGATTATTTGCAATGGGACTTCTCAAAAGAAACCATAATTTGATAATTTCTCCCAGGGCCTTAATTGGCTAGACAGAGGCTGAGTATATTCCCTTGAATCAGTCATGGAATGTGCCTTACTGGTTAGCACTGAGATTTTCAATAGTGAGCTGCGTAACAATGGCACAAATGCTCAGGAGATAATTTATTGTAAGGAGAAGATTAAGTCTGAATTCCTTTAAAAGGACGCATTGTGGTTTTCCCCTAATGAAAGTCAGGCATCTATTAATAGACATAGATGTTCTCCGGCTCGTTATGGAAAAAAAAGCTGTTTTTTCCATGGTTTGACAGGAATGGGCTTCCCTTCCCCCCAGCTCATTTTTTCCCCCTGCTTCTGTTGTTCTGTCGTTTTGGTCTACATTTAAAAATACTGTCTGCTCTTTGTTTAAGTCCAGCACTGTTCACTGCCCTTGCAGTATAACCATACATCACGCCAGTATGCAGATACCCTTGTTTGTGGGAGATGGTTTTCCACTTTGAATAGTTGCAAAGCTTGGTTTTGGCCTCTAGTATACTGCTGATTATGAGAATGTAGCCCAGGCTCATCCATTGTTTGACACGATCACATAAACAGCTGCTTTGTGCTCTACTCTCACACCATCCTCCTGGCATAATCTCTGTGAAAACAACTCTTGTTTCAAGTGTCACAGGTGTTATTTGGCTTTCCTTGCTTTCTCTCTTCGTTTCAACTCTCCCCTTCTCCCATCTTACAAGAACAGTACCTTTTAGAATACATTGTACTGTTCATAGTTGATTTATGCAGTGTGTAGCAACCTAGAGAACTCCTTGTTTTTAAACAAAAAAGTAGTTGATAGCTGAACACGTCTGAGTTATAATATAAAGAAAAAATCAAATGTTCTTAAAAGACTGCATTTCACTCAGTCAATATTGAATGTGTAATTCTTTTCCCAGCACAAACACAAAACAGCATAAAGGTGGCTTAAAATATTTTTAAAATCCCTTGCTTCTGGCTTTTAAACTATTCTAGCAGTCTCATATCACATTTTTAAACTTTTCTTCAAAAACGTGACTAGAATGATTCATTAAAAAGCTAACCTAAGATTCTTAAGTGATTACATTATTCCAAGACCTTAGGATCAACAAAAACCAAACATCTAATTCAAAATCTGTAACATCATATCTCAACTTTCGGTAAAGCTTACCTCATTTAAGCTGTTAAATTGCTCAGTTGCTTCTGTTGGTGAAATGGATGTGTTCTGATCTGTTCTGCAAAACAAAACAAGAATTTTCACTCAACAGATTCCTTATCTGTGCTGCAAATATTTCAAACTTTTCATCATGTCTGTACATAAATTACAAGTTATGGGATAATTTTTTTTTTATTTAAAAAATAACATTTCTCTGAAAATTGCATCAGTATTTTATACCTCATTCAAAACGACAGTGATTTTACTGGAATCCTAAATAATATATTTAAACTGTGAATGAGGCCCTGGAAATGATGACATTAAAATCCTGGCTCACGCTGTCACACAGAGAGAGTCCTACAGAAGCGTGATTAGCTCTCAGGATCTTGGTGAGCTAATAGGGTTAAAGCCAAGAAAAAGCTCAAACATATGTTTAAATCTAAGCACGATTTGTCCCACATGCTTTAAGTGAGGAACAAGAGTTTCCTGTATCAGAGCCATAAAGACTAAATCTTTCCATATTTAATCTTGATGTTATTTCAGGCTCCCAATCTTCAACCTTCTGCTTAAGTTCTGTTTTGCAAATTTCACAAAAACTCAAGGGACTCTCATGAGGAGCTGGAAATCCTTTCAGTAAGAGACATTTACGCATTTTCTAATGAGTGTTACTCTGCAGCCATCAGAGATGTCCATACCTTTGGTTTTCCATCAGTGTATCACTGCTTCTCCTCATGGAAATAGGAAAGGAAGGTTCTGGACTGGCAAGGGGAAAATCTCTTCCATCTGAGTAGGACTAATGAGACAGCTGTGCCCCATCCAGGCAGATGTGTTTGTGGCCTAGGGCTCCACACACCTACCAGCTTACAACTTCACTCTAACATGGAATGAAACTGAAACCTAACAAAAACCTCCCATAGATTGGTGAGCAACCTGAATAGCCTCATACCACGGCTCTGTCCTTCCCCAGAGCAAACAGAGGCTTTCACGCTCAACTTCAAAGCCTGCCATGGGTGTATCACAAGTTAACTCGCAACTCAGCTGAAGCAAGAAAACTATTGAAAGAAAACTATTGAAGAAAAACCAATCTCAGAATGAGATTTCTCATTGCTGAAAAGGTGGCGATGTTTGCTGGCCTCTGTGAAATTCACTCACAGACATCATCAAAACTAATATAGACCCCAGAATCCTTTGAACTAAATACTTTTTATTTTTCAACATTTGTGCTCAGAGACATCCCAGCAAAGCCAAATAGTTTGAAAAGTCTCTAGACCTCAAAAACAATACAGAGAGATGAGCAGGCCTTTGTTGTAGTTCTTCATAGATTAATGAGGCATTTACAGACTGAAATGACGGATATGTCACTTTCCTTACCAAAATAGACACATTCGATAGCTGCACCAAGGTGAACAACCATTTGCCTCCAAGCAAGATTCAAGGTGTGCAATTCACGTAGGAACAAAAATGGGTCATTTTGGTGGTAGTACGTCTAGCACCAGAATGGGAGGTCCCACAGGCCAGCCAGCCTGCACCTGCCTCAAGATACACAGGGACGTGATCAGAAGAGAGTGATTTCTGGAGATCCTTAAGCAGCACGGTGCCTTGGCTGACTGTTGTGCAACCACCTACCTACATCTCTATGTAGCTCTCCATGCAGGTATCTTTTCTACCATCTCGCCTGAAAACAAATAGCAAATGTCTCCATAATGTGAAGAAGACAGAAGGAAAATTGAATTACAGAAAGAAAAAGGTTAATGTCTCACAACTGATCTCTAGCTTTTAGGCAGTAGAGAGGACAGTATGAGGCAGCAGGAGAGAGTTAGAAAACTGAGAAAAAACATGGGGAGAGCAAGAGGACTAACTTAATAGGAAAGAGTGAATTATTTGTAGTTTGGTTTAATAACACGTAAGGAAGGGCCTGGTAGGCTACAAAGCGCTGAAGAATTGATTCGCTAAGGAAGAAAAAAATATTTGGAGTGGTTTATTGCATTGAACTAGAGCTAGACATAGAGGAAAGCAAGAAAAGGACAGGTGTCAGATTTGTACACTTCTGGAATTCATTGAGATGACTCCTTTCAGGGTGCGTAACACACAGCAAATGTGAACCCTTTAAAAACAAACAAACAAAAAAACCTTAAATGCTAGCAGCAGTTTTTACAGATGCTATATGAATTTCTACATAATCCACAGCTGTATCATCATGAGTCTTGCACTCTGGAGATTAAAAAGTTTACAGCACTTCTGAAGTTCCACCTCTCATTCAGGATGATGTTGTTGTCTGCTGTTTTAGTGATGCAGAAGTCTTGTTTTACTGTTTCTTTTTCACTAAAAATACTGGAGTAAGATGCTCTTACTTTTGCGTTCTTTGGATTCTGGAGATACTGAAATCCTTAACACGGGCAACCATTTTTGTGAGAAGACCATTTACATTAACGGTCATATATGTGTGCTGAGCTGATCTTACTTTACATACAGAGTTTTGGGGTGTGCTTTTTTGCTTTCACCAAGATTAACTGCTCTGCTAGGCAAATGCAGGTTATCTGATTGTCACCAGGCAACAACGGACTTAAAATTTAATAACTATGGGTTGGATCCTCCTCTCATTAAAAGTCAATCACAAAATATCCATTAACTTCAAAAGCAGCCGGAATAAGCCCTAATTTTCCATCTGTGCTGAGTACATTAAAATTATTTTAAGCCTTAGCTGAAATTTTGAATAATTGCAGGCAGCCCTTATTTTGTATAATTTACATCATGTAAAATAATGAAAATGGAATCCTCTCTGTGGCTACTACTCAAATATATGATACATCATTCTTTATAAAATACAAAAGGTCTGTCTGATCTCTCACTCTCCCTGTAGACTGGCGACTCTGGCTTTGGCAGAATTATCCTATTCTGCATGGCACAGATGACAAAGGTGCAACCCAGCAACATATACATTTGAAGCTTGTGGACATAACAAAAAAACCTGACAGCAACTAAATGCTAATTATCATAACAGAGCTCCTACCAGACTTCAAGGGGAAGATCAATTTGCATGAGCAGTGAGCTGTTTAAAAAACAGACCAGAATATGTGAATCATTGAATTATGCATGGTATCGCTTCCAAACTAGCATAAAATTCAAATAAACCCACATAATTTTAAAAACTAGGAAAAATGTTTAAAGATAACCTAAGCAAATTCACTTCTTTCCCAGACGAAACCCAGAAAGAAACACTGCATTCTGTAATTTGCAAGTCCCAATCCAGTCCAGCCCTGGATAACACTGACTCCATTCTCAGGAGCCTTATGTGTTTATGCACCGCAATGCCACACGTGCTCAGCGTCTTGGGCCAATTAGTGCATTCGTGACGCCAGGGTAAATCCTGGCAAGTAAACCACACACTGTGCTGCGGGAACAAAACCCCTTTTCCAGATTCACTTTCAGTCTGTCCCGGCCCAATACTCCTTCCTTGTCTCCAGTCTAGCGATGCATTTCACCCTTCCCACTGTGAGGGTGGCCTACCAGGTTACAGCTCAGAAAGGGCAGTCCCAGTGCTGCGTCGGAGGACTGATTCAGCCTCTCCAGAGGTTACATCACACGAGTTCACAGAAAGGCAGATCGCATAACCAACACTCCGCAGTGCCAGGAAAACAAAAAGGTCATTTCTGAGACCTCCATAAATGGCAAAAAGCATTATGAAATTCAAACCTAGTCAGCACCTTGGTACAGGGCTGCAGGTGAATGTTTCAAAAGCACGCCTGTGGACCCCTGCAAAGCAATACAGAACTGCTGCAGGCTTTTGCATGAACATGAAGTGCACACTTGCAGTGAAAGAAACAGCGGTATTAAGGGGCCGAGGCTGCTTGGGTGAATCCTAAGCTACTCCTTGGGCAGTCCCTGGATGCTGTCATAAGCAGGCAGACAGTCAGTGTAGCAGTGCCTGTCTCATCGACCACAGCCGTTACGTAAAGGCTGGCGGTGGATGGCCGCACTTGTTTTCCTTATTACAAGTGCCTCCGTACTCACCAGGCACAGTAAGATGCTATTTTTCTTTTGCCCTTCTGTCCTCCTCTCCCCCAACTTTTTTTTCTTTCCTTCTTTAAGTGTATTGCAACCAAGAGCTTACTCAGAGACTTTCCATGATGCCTTGATACAAGAAAAATCACTGGAATCTTAAACACCAATATTTTACTATCAACATTCCTGAAGAAACTGTTCTTAGGAACTGGTCAATCATTTCCCAGCAAAGCAATATTTTATCAGCAAATCCTGATTTGCTGACAGAGAGCTATTTGCAGACGCATACTGATCGTGATGAATTTTTGCCAGGTCTGAGGCAGGACTCGGAGGGAATCTGGCCAGGTTTTCCCCCTGCTCACCTGGTCGCCTGTGTGGGAACACAGCCTCAGCAGCTCTGCCTCAGCCGCGCCGGTCTGCCATATGGCACGGGGACATCAGCACTTCTGCAGCTTCCCTGTTCCCTCCTACACATCCCTGAGTTGTAGCTGTTCAGCAGAAAGCGTGGAAACTGAGTCCCCACCTGAACTGCACTTTCCAAAGCTACTTGCCTTGAAAACTTAAATACTGAAAAGCCTCACTAGAGCTTGGTCTCCTTTGGGGGAGCACAGAAACGCTGAGAGGCTCTGGCTGAGCCCAAGACCCAGGGCAGCCCAGAGCTCCCGGCAGTTCTGGTTTTCCTGAAGAACAGTCATAGGTCTGACAGTAACTGACACCCTACAGCCTCTGCAGAAATTAGGGACCAACCCAGGGACTGGCTGAGTCCTACTAAATGAAACCACTCTGCTCCCATTTTATTTGGGGAATGAGGAAGAGGGGGAACTTCCAGGAATATTTCTTTGGCAGAAAATTTAATCCTAGAATGCAATTCCCACACTGACTTGGAACGAAATCTTCTTTGAAACGCTGACATTCCCAGCGCCCTGGAGCCCCATGTTTCAGCCCCTTCTCTGTGAAACAGGCACCTGAAGAAAACACCATCCTCTATTCAGGTAACAGCGTACACAGCTCTGCAATCCAGTTTTGCTGATTGCCTTTGAGAGGGCAATCAGTTACAGCTGCTTTTTGTAATCACATGTATTGTTCCATACTGGCTTTCCTATTCTCTGTAAAAAAAGGCAATTCTCTTTATTGTAATATTTGTGCCAGGGGTCTGCGTAGAACTTTTATCTCCCAAAGGTGTAGATTATATTACACTCTTATCCAAACCCAACTACACACAATGACTAGAGCAGTATTTAATGTAGTCCTTGGCAATAGTGTTAGAAATTCATGTTCTTGTCATAAAATTTAAAGGTTTCCTTCCATGCAGATGGCATTTCGTATTCTAAATTGATGCTGCTGTTCATAAATCATGCATGATAAACACCTCTTGAAATTAAAATCCTTGATTTGCAGGTCAGGTATAGCTTGGCCAAGAACAAGGCAGTATTCTCTCATTCTTCTGCCTGTAAACCTCTTCATCAAGTCTATTCTTCTATTTCCCTCAAATCCCACTAAAACTTTTCCTTCTTTTTCAGTGGTTATCATAAAATGAAAGTACTCTCCCAAAAAACAATTAATACGTATATTCATGAGTCATATTTCTGTAGATTGTTTCTCTTACATTGCCCGTTCTGTTCTCTGTCAGGTATCTGTTTATGAACATACTAACACTTTTACGTTATCCTGAATTTAGATTGCTCTCCTTAATAGGGACTGTACTGAAAAGTTTTTCATATCTCGGTAGTTCTTCATCCATATTTAAACAAATTAAAAGCTGCCCCACACTCACTAGAACAAACTTTAAAAAACTGTACAGTTCAGAGGCATCTAAACCTTTAAACTCTAATGAGACTAATGACAGATCTATAGCAATCTGCAGAAACTAAATTAAAGCAGAAATAACAATAAGCTGCACTAGAAATAATCAACCTTGCTTCTTAGTATGAGGCAGAAATAAATCCTTCTTCTCCTGTCCTCCCCACACACATACAATAGACAGAGGCACCCCCGCAGCAGTGTGGCCATCTCCGCCAAAAGACCAGAAAGCTGTTGGTCTATGGATCTTAGGCAGATGTAGTGTGCCAAAGCATTGCTAATTTTACCAGCAACCTAGCAAAACCAGGGTGACAGACGGTGAAACTCAAGTTTCATAGGGCTAGCAAATGTGTTCTGTCAAAACCTAGCTATGACTGTTGCCTGCTGCCAAGACTGAGTGCTTAACCTTTGCGACGTCGCAGAGCAGAGGGGGCAGAAAACAAGGCAAGACATCGTACCCTGGCAGCTGTGTTTCACAGCCTGCTGCACCGTCCTGATGCAGCAGCTAGAGATCTGCATGAGCTGAGACATGGACATGTAATTGCTCTGACCTTATCAAAGCTGATGGACAGCAGAGGGATGGGGCAAGGTGCTGGTGACCCTCAAGAGGAGTCACCAGACACAGTGACTCTCCAACTGAAAGTGATAGCTTCAGCATATGTAATTTAGAGGGCCCTGCCCTAGCTGGGTGGTGGGAAAGTTTTTTCCAAGGACGGTTAAGACAGTTAAAGCAAACAAAGGGTATGTGTGAGGCCAGGGACGATGGGTTAATGCTTATTTACTCCACGTTTGAAGTTCCTTACTTGAGAGTAAAGTCACTTCCATTTTGTTGTAATACAATCAAACTAAGACATGGCCACAGTTGAGATTTGATCGCTATGCTCTCGCAGCATGGTAAATCCAGGTACTTAAATCTATTTAACAGATTTAGCGCTTGTGGATAGCAGGCTTCCTAAGGAGCTACCCTGGTATTAAACAGGAATAAATAGCATCGTGAACAATGATTTAATATCAGGCCAGACCGTTGAAGTGGACAGGACAACATTGCTGTGGTTGCTGTTTTATTCATGAACACTCTGCTCTGGTTCTTAGCTTTAAAGCCCATGTTTCTTTCATCATGTTCCTTGCATCAAAATTAACCAACATTATTTCATTATATACCCGTACACAGACCTCCCACCAGGTAGGTCTAACTCTCTGATACCAAACGCACTCTGCTCCTCTTTACAAGGAATCCATGTGATTTTTCTTCCTAGCATAAAGAATGCCAGAAAAAGTGAAGGCAATCTTCCTGGGCTGAGGCTAATTAGAAACACTTTCTGAGATGCAGGACTTTGCAGTGTCTCAATTGCAGATATAAGCATAGAAAGGTGAAAGCAGTTCTTTCTGAAAGCTAGTTAAATGCTTGGTCATTCTGCTAAAGCTTCCTTTGGGAGCACAAATTAATATAATTTACAACGTGTCCTACTGAAAGCTGTGGTGAAGGCAACCAGTTCATATAAAGCACCAAACTGCCATTGGATGGCAACTGTCACTACTAACCTAGTCCTGAGTTGAAACAGACCTTGGAGGCAATGAGTTCTGTATGTCCACTAGCTGTGCCCTGACCCACTGGGCATCCCTGGGCTGTACAGCTGCTGCTCTGGTTCCTCCAAAGAGAGCCAGAGCTTCTGCCACACAGCACCGAGGCTGTCATGCACCTTGAGGCAGAGAACAAAGAGCAGAGACCTGAAAAGAGCACCTACCTGAAACTATGTACACAGCAAAGCAGAGCCAAATCAGCATGTGACCATGGGAAACTTGTAAAGTAATGCCCCAAAACCAGGTGGCTGTGAAGAGCATTATATTATTTACACAGCCCAAGCCTGTCAGTAAGAGCTAAATCTTATCCTCAGGACACACCCTCACTAGTAGATTGGGTCAGTTGGGCAAGATGAAACCCCATTTCTAGCCTTTTGCACAGCATGAAGGATCAGAGGAGGAACTGTGAATTCCAGTAGTTACCAGAGCTGAGTTTCTTCGTGATCAGCTGAGTTACCTGCCACCAAGACTTGGCTAACCCTTGACCTGAACACCCCGTACCCTTCACATCATTGGAACAAGCACATCTACCACAGCACCAAGAGTCTAAACTGTACATAAGTGCATACCCATGCTAAAATCAGGTGTGTGGCTTCCCATCGCCATTTGTCAGTGAGAATACAGCTCTGAGAAAGAGTGAGGCAAGTCAGCACTGGGGGAAAAAGAAGAGAAGTGCCAAGATATTTTTGAAACTTGGCACAGAGGAATTGAAGTTTCTGCACTGAGGATGTTCTTCCTGCTTGAAATGTAAGGGGTTTAAAGAATGATGAAATTTGCATTCTTATCTTCATCCCTTTCACGTTCTCCTAATGTTTCGAGGCATATAAATACAGAACACAACTGCCAATGGGAGTGAGGTGTCTGAATCTTTTATACAAAAGGCAGCAAATGAATTAGCCTTTCCTACAGTTAATCAGAAGTGAAATGCGCTGTCTTATCCCAAGGCTTACCTTGGTTGAAATCTCACGACTGCTTCCTGGCACCTGAAAGCCACATCCTGTGCACAGTCGTTAGCTGAGGATCCAGCCTTCCCCTGACGCTCTGAGAGGCCTGACAATGCGCTTTCCAGCTCCTGCACAAAGAAACAAACAAAAAAAAAAACCAAACCGTGAATGCTCTGTCAATACCAATCAGGCTTAGCTGAATATCTTGCTTTAAGAAAGAAAGAAAGAGCTCCATCAGTCCAGACACTGATTGTGGTTCTTTGTTATTTAGTGGTAATAATCTGGAAACAACTGGAAAACACAAACTAGAAGAGGTTCTAAACAAAGTAGTATCCTCTTTCACTGTAAAACATTTTTTGAATCCAAAGCAGGCTGTAACCCATTTTCTGTTTATTAGTTAGATGTCAGCTTCTAAGCAAAGAGGTCATATAAACAAGAGTTCAGTTCGGTTTTTTTTGCTTATGTATACATTCACATTTCATTTGAAATTATTTACTCACGTGTCAGTAACATTCTATTGCTTGGGTATCATCAGAAAAATTTTGGCTGACAACAGCAAACGCAGTTCACTTAAATAAGATTTGTAAGGTTTAACCAGTTTCCTTTTTCCTTTCACTCT